TCAATCGGTCTAACCACTGTACGAAAAATTAACCACATATGTAAAAGTGCAAGTCAAATGATCCAAACAATAGACCATAGATTATTGTGAATTTAATCCAATCAAACTATTTTTAAGACGCTAAACATAGACTTTTTGTTATGTCTCTGTTCACCATATACTACAAAAGTTCACATATATAATTATACTAAACATAGACTTTTTGTTATCTCTATGTTCACCATATACTACAAGGACTTCACATATATAATCATACTACTTCGTCACTTCTGCAAATGGATGTATATTATACAACATAAATGATACTATTTGATTGGTGGCATTAGTTTTGTATTAGTATATACATAAATGGACGTTTTCAAAGCAAGCAATTGTGTTTGATTGGATTAACCAAATGGTGATGGAAGGAAAGATGTTACGTTTCAACTCGTAAAGTCTCGACATTTAATCAAGATGAACCTTAAAATTAGTATGTACTAAATAAACCGATTTGATAACATACCAACTTTGGGTTCTTTTCTAATATCATCCACTTTTTGGAAAGGTGCATGATAAGTTCAACATTTAAATGAACAAAACCATTAGCATTTAACATATAAATATAATAGAGAAATATTTATACTCGTGTTACTAAAATGAATAACATCACACATTTTTCAAAAAGAAAGACAAACACATAAATATTGAAAAGAGTTTTATGCAAAACAAACCGTCACAATGTTTTTTCTGCAAAATTAATTTTCAACTAAAAAAAAATACGAGTCAATATAGCCAACTCAATGGTCACCGTATATAAAATACGAGTCAATATAGTCTTGGCCGTATATAAAAAAAAAAGGAATCGTATAAGAGGCATCCAATTCTTCCAAATGATTATTTTAAGCATAATCGTAACTTTGTTTATAATCAATTTCTCTATCTGTTTTAACAATAAGTGGTCGTGTTTGCATATATTCCCTATTGGTTTTTTCTCAGGAGATGATTATGCTTAAACAATTAAAGTTTCGTTTGAATGCACCCACCCCTTATGTTTTCATGTTGAGGTTCTTAAAAGCCGATCAATCAAACAAGAAGCTTGAACAACTCTCCTTCTACCTTATTGAGTTGTGCTTGGTTGAATACGAAGCTTTGAAGTTCAATCCAACGTTACTATGTGCATCAGCTATCTATGTTGCCTGTTGCACTTTACGTATGACACCAATTTGGACCTCGCTCCTAAACCATCATACCCACTATACTACAATGTCTCCCAAATGAAGGATTCTTCTGACATGATGCAGTACTGTTGCAGTTTTGAAGCCATTGGATAAACTCCCTCTCTAAATCTTTACCTTTATATCTGAAAGCAATGAGGCGGTATATACACGTATGTCCCCCCCCCCCCCAAAAAACATGCATGTCGGTCTTTTGATGTTTCATTTTTGTGTTGCTATACATATTTTCTCTTTCTAGATGTTTGACTTAATTTTGGCTCTCATTGGTGATTTCCTTTACCTTTTCATGCAGTCACGATGTACACTAATTAGAAATCATATGCCCAAATGAGACTTGGACGTTAAGGATGAATTTCATCACATACATTTATATTTCAAACTTGTTTTGGGATATGAAATGTCTAAAATCTCTTTATTCATTGTGAAATTGATGAAAACAAGACAATACACGTATCAGTTCAAGTCTATGTGTGCCTAATAGACGGAGTAATATATAGTTACGAAAATCGGTGGTTTAATGAGATAATTAGTGAAGATCAAGATAAATAAAAAAAATGACAATGAATTTCTTTGAACAGGTAAGGATAATTGAATAATCCGAACCTCTTCATCACGTTTAGCAAACAAACAAATATGCAAAAGATGGCTTCAAGCAAGAAGAGGGTTCGAATTATTCGACAGATGAGGGATCATATAATTGAATGTGTTGATGATGTTTTGGTTGTCGAATATGTCTTTGAACATGTAACCAACAAAGAAGCTACTTTCTACTCTAGGATTGCTACTCTTGGAAAGGAAGTCTGCTATCTCAAAGAAATTACCAAGAAATCACCTTAATAAGACAAGGTGAGATAGAGACTAATTGATGTCTTGCTAATTAAAATCCATAAGAGATAATTATGCATGTTTGATTAACTCGGTGATTTTGGATACAGCATTTGTTTTTCTGTAAGAAAACAAAAAAAATCACATAAAAAAAAATATAATTCATTATACTTCTTCAAAAAATAATAGTTATGTACATTTTTTTCATTATTGTATATAGTGATAATTTTGTACTATATATTCTGCTATTTCGCCAATTTATCCACTCACGAAAATGTTTTCATTTCGTAATATTATAGTTGGCAGTTTATTTCATTCCACCAACTATTACTTTTTACGCGATTAACAGTGAGAGCCAAAATTTAAACTACTCTTATTCTTATTGAGAAATTGTGAAATCCGAAATACACAATATTGCAATTTTATCTTTTTATTATAATTAATGAAGCCATAAAACCATAAATAAAAAAAAGGAGAATTCAAATGTATATGTTCATATTCATGTAAACCGATAATAAACCCACCCAAAACCAAAACAAAATTTTGGCATATACGGAAGCTTTTTCAAAAAAAAAAAAAAACAATCAGAGCCAAAATTGATTAAACCAAAAGAAATTAAGATAACCGAAGCGAACCAAGTAAACCGATAATAAACCCGCCCAACGAACACAGAGTCCACACATGTGTTTGTTCATCGTTACGATACGGATCGTGAAGAAGGAATCTTACTGATTTTCTTTTGTTCATTTGTGAAAAAAGATTCTCATAATCTCTCACACGTACGTATACGCTTTTGGGTTTTTGTTGAACAATCGACGAAAGAAAGAAAAAATGGAGAGCGATTCAGAGATGGTTGCGTTTCCTCTGTTACCGACTCCGATAGAATCAAATTACAGGGCTTGCACTATTCCTTATCGATTCCCTTCTGATAATCCCAGAAAAGCTACTCCTACTGAGATCTCTTGGATCGACCTCTTCGCCAACTCAATCCCTTCTTTCAAGTTCCATCTCTTTCCTTTATCTTTCAGCTTTCGATTCTGATTCTTTGATAGGCTTATGGGGATTGTTGTTTTTGTTCATGGGTCATGTCAAGTTTTGATTTTCCTGTGTTCAGAGAAGCTCATTTCCCTAAAATTTGCTCAAATTTTGGATTTTTATCAGTCAATTGATCTGGATGATCTATTTGTTCAGTATTGGTTTGGCGATTGTTATGTTGAATCTCTGATTCATACTCTTTCTGGGTTCTTATGAGCTTTGGATTTGTTATGAAGAAACTCTG